ACTCGGGCTCAGGATTGGCCCCCTCCCCAGGTTCAGGCTATGTTAACGCCCGTCACATCGAGCAAGTCGGCTTGCAAGGATTCTTTATGGAACACGTAACTAGCCGCCATACATGAGTCAAAACGTACAAGATTTGCTGTCTTCTTACCAACTAGCGGCCGCTTTGGGATCAGCTGTCATGATTCCCTCCGATCTACGGTTCCGATTTTCACGTTCCCGCGGAATGCGGCAGTAGTTGGTTGCTTGTTTGTTAAAGACCACATGAGCAGCAAGTACATTCAGTTCCTGGCAACCACTCCATTCTGGTGGTAAAAATGTCCCTAAGTCGACCTAAGAGTATCTTCGCTAGCAAAGCATACAGTCTCATTTTGAAAGATAAGTAGGATGCCATCTTCAATCTATCCTAAGGTCTTAAAAACATGTCGGCAGTCTTGTCATCTCAAGCATGCATCAGCTTGTGTTACCTGTCGCGAACCGGCAATTACCATAAACATGAATGGTGCGGGGGAGGGGAGACCCTTGCTTAAATTGCGACGTCAGCTGCCTTCATCTGATCTCCTCCTCCTCAGTTCTCCTTTCCCCCCTTGCATCCCTCCTAATCAATCTTTCCTAGCTCAGTGTTCCCCATCCCCCCCCCATTTCTCGCCCCCTCAGTTTCATAGCCGGCCCAACCCCAAGTGTTCGCTTCTCTGGACCACACCCTCTTTCCTCTGCTGATCACTTGAGCAAGCTCCTAAGAGGGAACAACCCTCAAAGCGTGGTATTGTGGCCTTCCGCAGCATACTTGCTCACATGCGATGGTTCCAAAAACATTTCGCCATCTCCATTCCAGTCTCACGGCACACTCTAGCCGTGCGATTCAAGGAAGCGATTTTCAGCCCTCAGGCGCCCTCCTGCCAAATTGTCTCCTCTGCATATTTCGATACCCTGCCCTGACTAGGAGACCGGCCTCTAATTGGTAAAGCCGACTCCGCTTGACTTGGTGAAGCTTACGAAACGGTTACTGGCTCATTTCAGCAGGGCCTGGGGAACCCCTTAGCCCCTGAACCCCCTCGTCAGTCACTCGGGAGCAGACCACTCGTCTATGCAGCGCGTTCAGGCTGACCAATCCCACCCTGGCCGTCATTTCACAATGCTACCAAGTGTGTCTGCTTCTTCCACTGGGCTAATTGTACTGATCCACACCGCTGTTGTCCTCTCCGCAATCCCCAGATTGATCACCCCTGCGTAACCACAATGATGCCCTGGAGACCATGTCAGCCTTTCCCTGTGACTTTCTTGGTCATTGTGGCACAGAAATCTTTCGATTCGAGTGGGGATTTAACAATGGCAGACCCGGTTATCGCCATGCCATCGTGTTCTGCAAGCTTTTGCAAGTCTTATCGCCAAATGAGCGGATTTGCAGCGTCAATTATTGAAGCGTCATCGCAGCCATGGCGGCTGCGCTCTTTCTCGAACTCAGTTGGGGGGTGCTCAGTTCCATCGGGATCGTGTGCTTCCTCTTTGGACTCCTGATTATTGGCATTACGGGATGGAGTGCTGCTGCGTCGGTCCCTATTATCTCCTCGGTCGCGGGTTGCTTGGCAAACGCCCTCTGCTACTACGCCTACTATCAGACTCACCCACCAGTCAACACTGCGGTTGCATCTGCATTTGCAGACGTGATGTGGATGGTAAGTCACTATTTATCATTTTACTTGATCACGCAATTTTCCAACGTCTTAGCGAGCTCTCTGATTGACGCTGGCCACCGGAATAGGTCCAAGAAGCCAGCCTGTCTTTTTACAGCTACATCATTCTCACACGCGTCCTCCTCCGAAGGTCTAGACGCGTTTTTCTCATCCTCTTTTGGGGCATCCTGGTCCTCATTATCGGTGCAAGACTTGCCATTCTTGTGATGAGGGTCAAAGTAACCATTCTCGAGAGAGATGACTTGCAATCCGTCATCAACAAATCGCATATTGCTTATTTTGTCTGCATCGCATCTATTGAGATTCTTTGCTCCTTTTTCCTACTGGAGAAATTCGCATCCGCGAAGAAAGTCTCCCGGGAAGCTTCACTGAATTCAAAGTTTTTCCGATACCTTCTCCAGAGTACGGAAGTCCGAATGACCACATTGGCGATCATCGGCACGACACGGGCAGTGACTTATTCTTTCCAGCCTTCGATGCAGGAATCGACGAACACAGTCAGCCAAGTTGATAGGTTTATTTACACTTTTGAGTGTCTATTTCCAATGATGATATAGTAAGCCCCCAGTTGCCAATGAGGTGGGTGTGTATGACAAGAACTGACAACTCATTCAGCATTGATCTTCTTGCATCGAGAGTCAAGTTCACGATTTCACAGCATGAACGATCTGTGACCATTATGAGACCTTTGTCCACGCGATCTCTTACAAACACTCGACCTATTCGCAAGGCATCAGTCTCTTCGCGCCATTACTTGGAAGGCAATGCGTCAGAGTGTGAACTGAGTCCACTCAATGAAACGGCGTTTGCAGCAGGAGTGGCCAATCTACATATAGTAGAACGGCCAGAAAAAGCCAAATGCACATAATCAAACGACTTGAAATGATCAACCATGACACTCCAATTTTTACAGCATGTAATAGCATAATAAGATACCATAGTCTCAGCAATAATATTCCGATCTTTTATTACACTATAATGTTTACTCAAATTGCCCATCATTCTATGTCCGTTTAACGTAAAATCTATGAGGTAAGATGGGCGTGTTTCTGCCGTCTTTATTTCCAGTATTCTTCTGGTTTCTGTTAGCCTTTGACTTGATCACCAGGTCTATCCCACTAATCGACAACACTTTTGTGAAATAGTAAAATCTCATGATTAGGCAGATGAAACATCTTCAATGTCCAATAAATTGATCCTACAATAAGTTTAGATTGCTCAGATCTTGTTTTTGCACTTCTCCTTTGCTCTGTTGGTTGAGCTATAGGGTAATTACATTGATGTCACATGAAAGATCACCTGAGACCGCGTTTCTGGGTCTGGATCAGAGGAGTGGAGCAGAGCAGAGGCAATCAAGTGGCTGCCAGAAAAACAGGGACTACAAAGCGGTATCTCACCTCGACAGAATTACTCTGGCACATGATAATGCTTCCTATTGTGTAATAGCAGGTAGATAATATTGCCTAATAATTACTCAATATTTTTATTACTATCAATATTATTATAACTATGGTCTATCAATATCGTGGCTTGTATTAGAAAGTTGGGATTGAAACACCTTTGTAGTCCCTGGTATTTTGACGCCCACTCGGTAATTTCCTTCAAGGCACAGGTGGGTGGATAAAAATCCATGTCTCCTTTGTGTCCGTTTGCCAGCAGATGGAGGAAGAATAGAGTGTCTCACATGTATTTCATGACGCGCTGTCATTCGTACCTAGTGTCATCTTCTCAGGTCTACTAAACGCGATCCGGCGATGAGAATCGGTTCTAGTGGTGGCTTATCCATTTTTCGCCTAGCCAATCCAAGATGTTGTTTCTTTGGACTACGTAAGACAGTCGGATGGTGGTGCCGTGAGGCATCCAACATCATCCTTCCAAACGATTCGGTAGAGTTGATCAAAAACTTCAATCAATTGCTACGAGGGTTTGTCGACTTTTAAGGAACAATACGGTTCGTTTTCGGACCCATTGAGCTCGTGATGGTGATCTATCTCCATGATAATCGAAACTCACCACCCAAAGACTTCATTCAAGAATTCGCTACCTCTAACCCCCCGCCAAAGTCACTATCGGAGCCGAGCTTTGGACTGGACTCCATCTTTGGGCTATGCTTATCGTCTTTCGCTGCCCCTTTGTATCTCTATGCGTCCCTAAAGGGGAAATTTCAAGTCTGGGACGACGTCTTAGCTACAATACCTGACGAGGTGTTCCATGGCCCTGCGCTAGATGTTGGGTGTGGCCGCGGGCTCGTGCTTCTCAAAGTGGCTAAACGCAAACAGAAGCTCGCCCGTGGTACTTCAGATGGTTCCATTTATCCGGCCTATGGCATCGACATATTCAGCAAGGCGGATCAGACGGGAAACTCGCCTCTTGCAACATATCAAAACGCGGTAGCCATGGGAGTTTCTGCAAATACAGTGCTGCATAGAGCGAGTTTTACCGAACAGCTTCCATTCGCCGATGGAGTCTTTTCTCTACTTACGTCAAACCTGGCGATACACAACGTCAACCGTGAAGGGAAAACCGTTGCCATCAAGGAGATGGCTCGAGTCTGTAAGCCAGGTGGCCGTGTAGTCATAATAGACCTCTGCGGGCACTTTAATGACTACAAAGCTGTTCTCCTTGAACTTGGCTGGCGGGAAGTCAAGATTGAATTGGTTGGGTTTAAGATGCTGTATGGCGTTCTACCATGCCAGATCTTGACAACAACGAAGCCATCAGAATGACGGATATTAGGCTCATATTTATTTTGGTGGTATTCCTTTCAACCGTTGAAGTTCTATTGTTTTTTCTATGCTCTAGAGCTTTGACGTGGAGTTTTTGGATTTAGATAATGCTTCGGGTAGTTGTGAACCAATTACTGTTTCAGACGCCCTTCCACTGAACGAGATGCATAACGACGTATTTCGAACATTGGGCTAACTTCGCAACTGCTCACGGGTGCGGGGCTCCTTTTGTCCGTAATTCTCAAGGCTTTCGAAGATAGTCAAGAGGTAGTCTCGCTATAGCAAACAAGAGCGCCTTGTAGATGGGCTGCGATGAGTATTGTGGAGCCTTGCAAGAACGGGATAAACTTCTAAATGTTAAGCTAAGCATCCTTCATAGCCCATGTAATGGGATATCCCGGCCAAGCTAAGCCAGCATGTCAAAGTTGATATTAAGCGGGATAAGTTTTCAGCATCAGGAATTGCATCTTACTGCTCTTTGATGTAAAGATTGGCAACTACCTGTTTCTAATGATGATAAAACGTCGGCCAACTTGAACAGTCCAAGCACTATGTCTAAGCTCTAAACGGTACAAAACTTTTCTCACGCCGGTCGAATTCGCTGGCGATACTCGCGTATCCTTTTCTCCACATCTAAATCATTCCATACTTCCACAGAAGCTGATGCTTGGCAGGTGGGAAGACCGAATTGTTCGATGACCAAGCTTGCAGCTACGGTTCCGTAGATCATACCTTCAGTGATGTCTCCTCCAGATTTTATCATGCCTACAGTGAAGCCACCAAGAAAAGAAATACCAGAACCGGTAGCATCGACAACATGACTTGTAGACGTATGATATGGAGGGAACCATTGGCAGAACCCTTGGCGGGACCGAGCCATGTTACCATACTTGCCACAGCGAACCACAACATATCCAGCACTAGTAGAACTAATGCCCGAGGCCAGGAAAATTTCGGCACAGCTCTCAATGCTGACACGGCTGAAGGACGCATTGATGTCACAACCGATGAGGGATTGCAATTCGATATGGGTAGGCGAAAAGACGTCGACGAGTTTACACGCACGGAGATGAGAGTCGAGCCCGTTACTTTGACATGCCGAAGGTTTTGGCTCCCACACAATTTTTGGAACCCCCCCAATGGCGGAAACAGTTCGAGTTGATCTTAGCTGATTAATCTGGACCTCGAGTATATCTGGAACTTCCAGAAAGTGGAATGCAGATGCCCCGAGCAGAGGTGATCCGTGTAGATGAAAGACTTGCGTAAGAAGCGGCGATGCGAAGAATGAAAAGGTTTTTTCTAATTACTGATGTTAAATAGCTAATATTTTTCGATGAACAGAGTTTATCTTACCAGCAAAATTCTTATCGTGGTACTTGAGGAGACCTCTGGTTGAAGTTTTGCCGGTTTCCCGATGCACCAAGAGGTTCATGCCCCAGCTCTGGATCCATCCGAGGACGTCGTCGGGGAAGTCATATCCCGCGATGACAATACATCCAACTTTCGAGGACTCGTTCTTTGCGGTCACAGCCCGTGCGCCAAGAGCAGCTAAATAGTGAGCAACATAAACAGGATAGATTATTTCGATTCGATTTCACTAACCATAAAGACCAGTTCCTCCAGGGACCTTGTCTTGGACGTAGCAATCGGCGAACTTAACCTGATTGATGACAAAAGGGGCCATTGAAACGAAGTATGGCGCGTTGGCAGGTGTAAGCCAACTGGAAAAGCTCTCTCTATTAGAAGCTGCAGATTGAGGAGATGACATATTGATTTGGTAGGGAATAACACCAATAGAATGTGGTTTGGAGGAAGTCGAAGGTGATGAGGTAGGCGCAGAATCGAATGTGAGTGCTGTTCATGGTAAAAGCATTGCTCACTTCCCTGCCGCGGTTTTTATAAATCCAGAGGCCGGATTAATTTCTATACCAGATCTAATAATTATATTGCAGATTAATTTGTAGTCACTTTTCGGGTTGCCTCAGAGGTGAATCACTTATTTTTGGCCGTCAGAGGTGTGAATCACTCAACTGCTTCCATCTGTGCCATGTAACCTTCTGGGACTGATTCACTGTTCTCATTAACGCTCATTCATTAAATATTCAAGTTTGCATAAATTTTTGTCGATGGTGAATCACTACTTCCTTGGATCAAACGCCGAAGTCCTTCAGATGAAAATCGCCAGATAACTGCTTCTAGTTTCATACAGCAATATATTAGATCGATCACAAATGCAAGCTAATGGACGGGAATCCCGAGCGCGAGTTCTGCATATTTTGGGCTAATTCAAAATCGGGTTTGATTTCCCTCACTTGCTACACTATAATTTGAGTAAATTGGTACTCATATTATACCTTTACTTGAATGCTGGCTTCCTGTCGAGAACTGGGCTTCTCGATGGAGTGTAGAGAGAACACTTTTTGCATGGTGCCTCGGCCTAAATTTATGCCCCTGGGATATAATGACTGGGTTGCTGGAGAGTCTGGGAACAGGCTCATCGATGGAATACTAAATCTAAGATGTCGGAAATTTGTGACTTTTACTTTCAGAAAAGGAAGTAACATATAGACCAGGGCTGGAATATTTTAATTCGGTAGTGAAGAACACGGGTAAAAACAAAGGGCCACTTGGTAGTGAGCAACGTCCCTGCATGTGAGACGCTTCCCGTATGGCGACGCTCGGCTCACATTGTAGCTGTGAGGACGGTCTCAGTTAGATTAAACCAAACAAAAGGGAGCTACGGTGGACCCAGCAGAGTATCACACCAGCCTGTGGCTTAATTTTCGTATTCTTTGAGTTGGAGTGGTTACGTGTCACCCAGTGATGTGAAAACTCGGCACATTTTACTTCTAGTCGCACTAATACCAGCGATGGCTAATGGAAAGTTTGGCCGGTTCTAAACGAAAAGTCACAAGGGCCAATTAAGCTCTCAAAAAGGGCTATGCAGCTCAGCCACCTCAATTTGTTTGATTTTCTCACGTACATCCAGATTATTCAGCTAATGAATAACGTTTTGTGCCCCCCGAATCTCTAGATATTGCCTATATGAAGGCATAATCCCCGCAGTCTAGGCTTGGTTTGGTTTCTTCATCTTACAAGGACTTTTCTTAACTACAGTAAAAAAAAACACTCTAACAATGGCGTCTAAATCCACCCTCCCGTATCATGTTCGGGCTGATTCTCATCAACATCTTGTTGCACAGAAGCTGTTTCGTATTGCAGAACAGAAGAAGTCGAACTTGATCATTTCTGCAGATTTCTCTGACACAGATAGTCTTCTTCAATGCGCTGACGGTAAGCATCAATGTGCAGTTCACTACCTCGTCAACAAGTTACTTACTTGACATCTTGTTCCTTAACAGAGCTTGGACCTTATATTGCTGTGTTCAAGACCCACGTCGATATTGTCCACGACTTCGGCGAGAAGACGGTAGTTGGATTGAAGAAGCTGGCAGCAAAACATAATTTCCTTATTTTCGAGGACCGGAAGTTTGTGGATATTGGATCAACAGTCCAGAAGCAGTACCATGGCGGCGCGCTCCGGATATCTGAGTGGGCAGATATTGTGAACGTAAGTCCTCTTGGGGGTTGGGGCGTCGTGGAAGCGCTAGAACAAGTCATCTCCAATGAGACGTCCCCATACCGCGATGAGAGAGCCGTTCTTCTGCTTGCCGAGATGACAACTGCTGGCAGCCTTGCTACTGGTAAATACACCCAGAAATGTATCGAGATTGCAAAACAGAGAGGCGGTGCTGTTATTGGTTTTGTGGCTACTGAAGCACTTGGTACTGCTGAGCCTGATCTAACTACAACTGCAAAAGAGGATTTTCTTATCTTCACTACTGGTGTTAATATCTGTCAATCTGGGAACATCCTGGGACAGCAATATCAAACCCCAGAGGCAGCGGTTAGAGGAGGATCTGATTTTATCATTGCTGGTAGGGGGATTTACACATCAGAGAATCGTGTCGAGACTGCAAAGCAGTATCAGAGGGAAGGTTGGAATGCCTATGAAGCTCGCATTGCGTCGTAGAGACTACATTTGGAAGTCAACGTCACAGAATAACGCGACCAGGTAGTTTGCTCTGCCCCTTTCTGGGCGAAACCCTCAGCGACCCTGAGGATGGCGAGCTAATTTTGAGCCAGAAGTGGTTCGCTGATGTAATGGGCTAAATCAGACGAGGTATTCTAATATAGAAATGGGAGACCATTGTTTTCAGGAATGAATACGGGGGAAATCTCCTGTTCGAGCTGCATCTCCTTACCACGCCGTATCTCTCTAGCAGGGATTGCTACCTGGATAACCAGAGCCAAGATTTCAAGCCCAAAGTATTCTCCACTACAGATCCATGGGCCTTTTCACCGATCATCCTTCACCTTGATGTGACATCTAGAGGGATATTGGGAAGGAATATCATACAACCCTTCCTGAGCTTCCTGTGACCAAGATCTTATCTTGATTGGTTGTAAGATGCGTGCGATTGCGGGTTGCGCTGCTACATTAAAAAGCCATAGTGAGCTAAGCGTCTGTGTCATATTTTTATCTTCAACACGCCAGACAATTCGTCTGGCAATTCCAGTTGAAGTTACGAGATAGGACATGGAGTTTCGATATTCTTCCGACAACTCAGTGCTTATAACTGTACCCTCACAGAAAGAGAGACGACATTATTTCGGATAAAACATTGCGCTAATATGCTCTTGGTATATCGTTGTAAACACGCTGATATGATGCAACGCCCATTTAACGAGTCAAGCCTTTGTGATAAGGTGCCCTGAGTTGTGTATACAGAACACTCGAAAAATAAGGCGGGGGAGTTAGAACTTGAATTCAAGCGTAAGATCTGTGAGTCTCAAAGCCCACGACCACGTAGAAGGGCGAATTGAAGATAGAAAAATGCACCTGTAATAAAGGTTGGCATCGACGGGTTATCTTTGAACTGTGCTTAGGTTGCCAGAGATAGTCAAGTATGCTAATAAGACCGTACGGTCGCGTTTCGAGCCAGGGTAGAGTTCTGGCTCAGACCTCTTCCCCGGAGGCCAGATCCAGGCGGCCACAATCTGCTTTTATGCAAGCTTCATACTTCATCTCAGTCTAGGAACAATACCTCTTGGGAATACTTTGCCATTTCACCTAAATCAAGCTCTCCTAGTCTTCGCCTTCGTGTTGTCACTTTATCTGAATCGTTGTAGTGTCGGGGCTGGCCCAAATTAGGCGTTTCCGATACCAAAGTTCCAAAGGATCGTGGCGCAGCGGCTCGCCGTAACTACAATAAACTCACCGCATGTCTACATCGGGGGCTCACCTTTTCTTTCTTCCATATTCTTTTCTTGCGCTGTCATTCGGGGATAAACCTCACCCCGATGTCTGAATCCAAGAAAACGCCCTTCGACAGAACAGCCTTCGGGCGATTCATGTCAGGAGTCTCTTCACAGATTTCCCCGATCCGGTTACTCGACAAAGTCTCAACATATCTACAGCAAGACCTCTCGCCTCCTCTTCGGCTCGCAGCAATGCTTACAGTGTCCACCGTTAGTCTTTCATTCGCAAGCTTTTTCTTAACCATGAGTCTAGAGGATCAAGGTATCGTCCCGAAATCCTCCCGAGTTAGGTGGGTTCCAGTATTCTGCGCTTTCCGCTTCTGGGATCATACGTTCCAGCGCCGTCTTGCCAAAAGCTCCCATGGGGGTTTGGGGCTGATACATTGTATCGGCGATTTAATTCGCTATACTGATGGCAACATTCGGAATCATACGGTATATTTAAACATGATTTATCTCGATCCGATGAACTTGACCCTTCTGCTTGATGATTTCGATAACAAGTGGAGGGATGTCAGGCCTCAATTCAAAGATCTGTTGGGCAAGCGTGGAGTGTTTGGCATAAGTGCGATGTCGGTGTTGGATATTCTAATGTCTTTGATATCTCCGCTGTCAGTGATTGCCTGGATGATCTATCGGGCGATCAAGGTGTGGCGCCAGTTTCCTAATGCTTGGACTGATCAACTCAAGAGCGAGCAGGAAATATGGACATACCAATGGTGGGCGAGCGGTGGCGCGGTGATTCATTTAGTTCTTTCCAGCGGGATATTCCTGATGGAAACATTCTCCGTTACTGGGAGCATTACGGACAAATCACTCTTTCTGTCTGGTGTAGGTTTTCCTACTTCCCCTATGACACCAACTCCGACTGACTCATTACAGGATACTCGAGAAGCAGCCCCTATGAGATGGCTTTCGCGGATGTTGCGGTATATTTTCAACATTCTTTTGGTCGGATATCTGATGACATTCTCTGCAAAGGCAAATGACTCTTACTTCTTCCTTATTGTAGTACTCTTATTCTCTGGTTGGCTCTTCAACTCTATGCTGGTAGTCAAACCCAGAAACAGGAATGATCAGGACAAGAAAGCCCAAGTCGCAGACGGGGAGAAGTCTTCTCTGTCTTCGAGCTGATGGAAGTTGCCAAAGTACGAAGTTTCTGTGGCATTAATCCCGTTTCAACATTAATCAAACGCGTAGATGAAACAACTTTTCTGTGCAAACAAAAACACCACATCCGCCCCAAAACTTTCACTCTTAAGCCGTAGGTATTCACCACACCCTAAATGAATCTCCAATCTCTTCCCCCAATTATTGCGCCCTAGGAAAATCAATTTATTCAGACCGACCCCGTGAGATGCACTGCTCTAAATGTTTTAAAGACAACAATGTTTTTTTTTTTGACTGCGACAGAACTCGATATGTATCTAATCCCAGCGCGGTTAAGTAAATCGTAATTGAGAAGAGAATCTGCCTCCATTGATCGATTTTAGGATGAGATATAAGGGAAGAGAAGGTCTTCAAAGTTAGGAGTGGAAGTAAAGTGATGAGATGACTGGAGAGTCGGGAGGTCTAGTGATAGCCATCATTATTCAGATCATTGCTCAAGTTAGACAATATCAAACTGGTAAAAAAGATGAGACTTTTACAACAGAGAAGCACGTGCTGGATCTTGTCCGACCCGCGCGGTCAATCCTACGCTCACGGAGCTAATTAACGTAAAGGAACGCAGGATTCTGACCCTGTCTGGTGATCTTGCCGCGCGTTGTTATCCGGCAAAAACACGCACAGGAATTCTTCAGTTACTCCCCATGGTCTTCACAAACGTTAGTTGTGGCAGCTGGGGAGGCTGAGCATATTGGCATCAATGCAGTCCCGGCTTGCTTTTCATCTTGTTGGGCTTAGACCATTACACAGGGCTGGCTGTTTGTGGTCGAGTTTCAAGATTGCGGTGAAACGATCCAGCTGCGACCACTGTAACAATGCAGCATCATGCATGCACTGCCGTATTTGCTTCCAGAAGACTTTGGCCTGAACAAATTCTTGATCTTTTGTTGAGACCGCACCGGGCGACTCGGCGAGGACATCACGTTGTCATATCAGAGTACAATGACATCTTCGCCACTGCGTAGCGCTCAATTACACCGACGTGCGAATCTGACGGCCCCTGTTTGCCTCCTCCAAAGCATATTACCCCGTAACATGACCGTGCAGACCGAGTCATGCGGCATTGACTGCCGCCTACACGCCCCCCACTACTTGAGACGACGTGTTTCACCACCAGGTACGAGCCGTAGAGAAATTATTGGAAGGACTGCTAGCCTCTCCCTCTTTAAGCTCTGATCCCCCTTTTCACGCGTCCGATTGTCTCGCCAGACTGCACAGCATTTGTGATACGTCATACGTCAACAAGATCTAAGACATGTGTGATTCATGTGAGCTGATGGGGGAAATTTAGTCCAAGCTCCCCAAGTTAAGACGAGAGGCTACCCATATAAGACTCGCCTCGTAGCCCACATTTGATGAATACAACAATCAGACTGTTCCAGCCAGACAAAGCACTGACACTCAGCCAGTTTACTTGAGTGCTTCGGTCGACAACTTCTTCCTTTCAACCTACCCCATTTCCAGTTGGTGGCCATTCGACTACCTGCACTATCTTCACGTCCGAACATCGCTCACTGGCCAAAACAACTGCCGTCTTTGGAACTTGGACCACTGAGTCTGAAAAAAAAAGAGTTAATATGAATGTCATTCTGAGCTCTCTCCTCTTCCTGGGCTCCGCGGTCGCCGCCCCCGCCTCCGTCGAGCTCAGCGCCGAAGAGCTCTCCTGCAGAAACGCATCCCGCTCCATCCTGAGCTGGAACATCATCGACTTCGACTTCCACTCCTCCTACACCTTCTCAACGCCATCCCACCAGATCGCAGGCGGCTACGTCAACTTCACCCTGGAGAACGCCGCCCTCGAGTACAAGCCCGTCTGCGCCGCGTCCTCCAGCCAGCTCCAGGACTTCTTCTACGGCAACGCCGTCTACGACTGCCAGGTCCCCCCCAGCGCCCCGCGTGACGCGGCCTCCTTCAGCTTCAACCGCGCCACGGGGGAGGTGCTCGTCAACCAGACCTGGGTCTGCGGGGACGGCGGCGGCAAGTTCACGGCGAGGGGTGGCACTACCTTCAACCTGACCTGCTCCGATGAGAGTTGGCAGAACCCGGACTGGAAGGATGGCGAGCTGTACTCTACGCGGAATGTGTCGTGTGCCAAGGTGAATGGGACGGCGTCAATTAACCAGATATCCGGCTCGACGAGAGTGTTGTCGTAGGTGACGACGCTAGTGACGGGTTGTGTATCTCGGTTTATGTAACGTGAAGATGGGCCGAGAGGACTGGCTTAGGTGCTTGTGGGTAGCAACAATCTCAGAGGAATCAACCTTTGTTCCAAAAGGAAACTCATAATCAAATGAAAATTTAAGAAACAAGGCGGACATCCATCGCTAACCCTCACTCCCGGCTCGTAACCGTGACAGGGTGTGATCAACAGCCACGTGTGATTCCGTGAACGTACCACCGGGGGCCGCAATACGGACCCAAAAGGCCGGCTCAACACCTAGTGTCTTATTGAAAACGACCACGGGGTGGATAATCGGGACATGTGTCGTAGGGCGTGGATTTACTGCCTTGATGGGAAACCAGGGTGGTTTGGTCGGGGCCGATGCCGGAGGGTGCCAGGGGGAGGTGGAGTAGCTACTTGACTTCATATCGGCGCCGACATCATGTTACGGTGCCGATTACGTCCGGTTGAAGTCAAATATCAAGGATGGTTGATCAATAGTCTGGGTTTGTCGAGAATTTGACTGGAAAGGTGCGCTTTTTGCCATGTAGAAGCTAATTAGCACACTGAATGTTTCCACTTACTGAGAAGGTAAAATACGAGCCTGCCGATTGAGTGGTAGTTATTGTCATCCTTGTTAAATTTCAAGTCACATGAATTCTATCTGTGTAGAGAGTAATACAAGTATTGGGGTGCGGATATCCGATTTGTGGCATGGTAGCATTGTTGTCACCACCGCATCCTTGTATTATTGCTTGTAATATAGCCTACTTCTTAGTAGTGGAAGCAAGAGGAATATATATCTATAGATACATAAGAATATGTGCATATAGAAACAGATGAGACGTATAATCAGATCTGCTAGCAAGAATTCAAGGTGTGACTGCTGCGGATGGGAAGACGTCTAAAGGTACGTCTTTATACATCAAGAGTGAGTCGCCCTTACATAGTACAGAAGGGGAATACTTAACGGCTAATAAAATGCCACGTGTGATAGCCATGCCCAACGCCAAAATCCTGGAAGCCACCCATGTCGCCTTAGCCAAGCAAACATTCCGTAGGCGGCCGCCTCACGGCTTGTGGAAGGCTCGACGACTTGGTTGGGACATAGTTAACGCCAGTAGAAGACATTGGAATATTTCTTTTTGAAAAACTTAATAGAAAATACCGGGAACAAAATCTCGTCATCGCTTGGCAGTATTAGTGTCCTGCCTTGTGAAGCTTGGTCTCTGTGCCTAGACGAACTTTTGTCTCTGCGCCAATGCCAAGGTCTTCTCCCAAAGACAAAACAAGCCCAACTTTCAGCAAATGATACAAACCTCTTTCCAACGGTGAGGTACATATGGCATCTTGGCTTGCTTCACAGTAGTCTCGTACATATCAGATGGTAGGTGAGAAACGCGTGATGGGTTGCAGTTCTCGCCTGCGGCTGAAAGGGCCAGTAGACCAAGGAATTTTTCCCACGGTTACTCTATAAGGTCATCGGTAACACCACCTTGCTGTAAAACTTTTCCGTGCACCAGGATCTTTTGGGGGAGGGCGAGAGATCTCGCAGGCAAGGATGGTGTGCTCATCGTGGACACACACGGCAAGAGCCGGGGAATCCGGCTATCGAGGCAAACACATGTTACACCTGCACGATGAAGAGTGGCATAATGGTCCGAGTCAAGCTCTTCCCAGCCAATGCATCGGTGCTGGGCCCCCAAGAAGGCTAATACTCTTGCCGGGGATGAGTGAGGTGTAAGACCCCATGCAGGAAAAAACATGTGCTATAGACATACTCACGAGGTACGAGGTCCGAGACACCTCAATCTTCTTTCCATTGGGTGTCTTGGAAAAATCAGTTAGGTAAAAGATGTATCTGTGCACTCTCAAGTCGATATCGCGAATACGGGCAACTATGGCGCAACCGCATAGCGCTGATCATTTGGACGCTTACTCCGCCACTAAGCCACACTGAAAATCATGTATTGTTTCAAATGCGGGAGGACTTCTGTTAGCTGGCTCTGCAGGAAGAAAGCTATTATCAATCGATGGGTGGCTTGGGCCAAAACTCAGGTCGTTTAGAAGCGAAGGTGTTAATTAATTATGCCTCGGATGATGGGCCTCGCCGGGTCTAGTTCGTAGACGGGATCGAAAGACCAGTTCTCCATGGTATCTCGCTCATTAACCAGGAGGCCATAATACGCCCGAACGAGCCGCAATCACGCTTCTCGTCCTCTTCGCCGTCTGCATACAGGGATGGGCGGCCCTTTTGCAAGTGATCGAGGTCGAGGAACAGCCAATCTCGAGGGTGTTCGCAGATGTCCGCTAAGAAAGACCCGCAGTGTTACCATGCCGGTGGATTCTCATTGGATTTCCACATCGATGGAAGCCGATCGCGTCATCGTCCCGGTCGTCCACAAACCGCAAAGCATGACACATAGACTCTCGATCCTCTGCCACGGATCCCTGGATTCAAAGAGCTGGTTTGAATCGCTTACCTTCGGCGCCTTGACTGAAAGCACTCAATTCTGGTCAACACGATTTCGTCGTCTGATTTTTGCTGACGGGGACCGCTCACACGGCATACGGCATGGGAATCCGGCGAGGAACATGAAAACTCATCCATCAGGCAAGACACACTGCGACTGCATTCCAATGGCTTCACTCCTCTCAATCCTATGGCATAATACCCTTCCCCTATTCAAAACAATGTCAATAAGCGGCCACGTATGGACGGTCTCGCACGTATAGAAGCTGCCTCATTACAGGGGCGAAGGAGGAAAAAGAAACGTAAAAAATCTGCCAAAAACAACCCTGAGGCATGTCACCATCCACTTGGCGTCGGCTGGACCCGCCTTGCTCACACACACTGGCGCCTGGCCGAGCTTCCACGGCCCTTCTACGCATGCACGAATCTTTCCGTCGACAGGCCCCGGGACCCAGAGGCCCACGCCACCGACCCGTGGAGGAAGTTTCTGTTAGTCGCGAAAGCGCTGCTCCACCGCGGGAACTCTGATTCGAATCCATCAGTCACGCCAGTTAGGCATTGGCAAACAACTGTCTATGTATAAAGCTTCGACACTTCCTCCACCGTCTCCATGAGGGATCTGCTCATCCACTCTTGCCTACGAGGGGAAGACTGTCCTTATTTACCGTCAAGTGGTTTGCTTCCCTAGCACGTATCCACCATGAGTCTCGTTGAGAGAGTATTCCAATCCAAGAAGGATGACAAGGAGGACTCGCCTGGCCCTCAGCCGGCCGGGTTTGACTCCGAAGAGGGTAGCTATTAACCCCAGGCCATTGAGTTGGTTGACAGTGCTGACGATTATTGTCTAGGCCATCTGGAGCAGGCCCGTGAGAACAAGCGCACGATTGGCATCGCCGGCGCAAGCTTCCTCATCCTGAACCGCATGGTGGGAACGGGTATCTTCGCTACGCCCAGTGCCATCTTCACCCTGAGCGGCTCGGCTGGTCTGTCCATGATCATGTGGGTGATCGGCACCATTGTTGCCGCAGCGGGTACTGCCGTGTACATTGAATTCGGAACTGGTACGTCGCATCGAGATGATGCCATACTCTGCAGGCCTAACGAATCGTCATGCAGGTATCCCTCGTAATGGTGGTGAAAAGAACATCCTCGAATACGTCTTCCGCAAGCCCAAGTTTCTCACCACATGTCTCTACGGGAGTTACTGCGTCTTGCTGGGTTGGTGCGCCGGTAACAGTATTGTCTTTGGAGAATACATCCTTCTCGCTGCCCGCGTTGAGCCCACCACCTGGAACCAGCGAGGCATCGGTCTAGCCGTCGTCACCGCCGCCTTTCTGATCCACGGCACGGTCCTGAAATGGGGAATCCGTCTCCAGAACCTCCTCGGATGCATCAAGATTATCATCCTCATCATCATCATCATCGCTCCCCTCGTCCGCCTGGATAAGACAACCGACACCCTGTCAAGGCACAAGGCCTTTGAGGGCACCACCGGAAGCGCCTACGGAATCGTCACCTCCCTCAACAACGTCATCTGGAGCTATGTCGGCTACAGCAACGCCAACTACGCCCTGAGCGAGATGAAGAACCCCATCCGCACCCTCAAGATCTCGGCCCCGCTCGCCATCCTGGGTGTTGGAATCCTGTACATCCTCGCCAACATCTCTTACTTTGTCGGCGTCCCCAAGAAGGAGATCCTGACCAGCGAGCGCCTTGTCGCCGCCTCTCTCTTCCGCAACATGTTTGGCGAGTCGGCCGAGCGCGCCCTCTGTGTCTTCGTCGCTCTTTCTGCCTTCGGAAACGTCCTCAGTGTCATCTTCTCCCAGGGTCGTCTCATCCAGGAGCTCGGCCGCGAGGGCGTCCTCCCCTTTTCCCGCTTCTGGGCCAGTAACCGCCCCTTCAACGCCCCTCTGCCTGGTCTGATGGAGCACTGGCTTGTCACGGTCATCACCATCATCGCCCCTCCTACCGGCGATGCTTACAATTTCGTCATCAAGTAAGTTGTCGCTGTTTCGTGTAGATTGTTCCATTAACTAACAAGGAACCCAGCCTCATCTCATACCCCCTCGCCATCGTCAACACCTTCGTCGCCATCGGCCTCATCTACCTCTACGTCAACCGCGCCAAATGGGGCTGGAACCCCCCCGTCAGCGCCACGCTCCCCGTCGTGGCCTTCTTCCTCATCAGCAACCTGTTCCTCGTCTTCGCCCCCTACGCGCCGCCCGAGGACGGCCAGAACATCTACAAGAGCATGCCGTACTGGACCCACAACGTGGTCGCCTGGGGTGTCATTGGCCTCGGCGGCGTCTACTGGGTCGTCTGGACCAAGCTCATGCCCTACTTTGGCAAGTACAGGCTGGAGCAGGAGATGGTGGTGGACGACATCGATGGGTGGGAGAGGAGAGTGTTTGTGCGCAAGCCGTTGGTGGAGTAGAGCTACCTACATATACATTATTGAAGAGATAAAGGGGTCGAGGAGTTTAGTTGCTACTTGGATAGAGAGGGAGAGCCTGTCTGTATAGAGAATATCTTTTTCTTAGAGTGTTCCAATAATACATATTGATCAATATCTGATTATCTGAACCAAGATCCCGGTCAATGGACGGTGATGGGCAGCGGGTGTCGGGGGGACCGGCAGAGCTGCCGGCCGGGGGCGCTGGTTCCCGAAGACGTGCTGCAAGTCTAAAAGCACGTCATGCCGAGGGTTTGCCCAGGCGGCGAGGCCAAGTGGGCTTCAGTACGTAATGAGATTGCATTTGCAGGCAGCAAACATCTGATTTATGCGGTCTGGAAGTCAATCATCTGGCCGTCAGCATACGAATCCTTGAAACAAATGATGAGAGATTGAGTGGCCCTCTAGGTCCAGGACGGGACACTCATTGCGCGGTGTGATAGGAACTAGTAACTTTCTACTCTTGCGTTAAACTCAATGCCATGCGGCTCTGCGATGCTTCAATCGCAGTTCATTTAGCGGGCGGATTAGCGGGTGGAGGCACTAACGCAGGGCAGAAGGTCTGTCTGATGAATTTAGCTTGGATTACCTACCCTGTAGAAAGAGACATTCCTCAGCGTGTTTGTGGATATACACAATCTAACCCAAGAATCATGACGTGGACAGACTAGCTGTGTCTTTTTTCGATTGATTTTATAGATGCATCGGTGGTTATTTAATTTGATTCGTTTCTCGCTGCCACTGTGTACTTCAGTTGAGGACTGTGCTCCCAGCGCCGTAACGACGTTGAAATTTCTAAGATGGCAACAAGCATGTAGCATCAGACATTTTGGCAAGGATGGAAAACAAAACGTCGTGGTTCATCGCGAGGTACAGCCGGACTGCGTAAAACTTATTTACTCTATTGTCGTCAAAAATGTTCGCAGCTATAGACAAACCCAAGTCTACGACACCATGGCTCGGAGAAAGACGAAACAGACTCGCGTCTCGTCGGCTTCTCAGTTTGGGCACGTAAGAATATCACAACTTCACGATAAGTGACTCATTTTTTAATTACATCCTATCAACAATACATGGCTACTCTAAATAGGCGACATCGGTATCATTCATCCACAAAAGTGCGGCCTCCACGGCGTCGTCAGGTTCATGCCCGTCCTCTAGACTTCTGGGGTCCACACACAAGCCCTCAGCGCCGAAGAATGAGAGAAGGCCTTCTTCGGCTTCTCCTAGATGGTCAGAACCCGAAGCCGTGTCTCGGATGTCTAGACACGGAGGCTCGGCTGACACGCCAGAGAGCTGAGACTCTCCGGCCTTCTTGCTTGCCGCGTCCCGCGTCTTGAACTTTTTCTCCAAGTTGTTACGTTCGTTCTCAACCTTGAATGCCAGTTCGCGACGGGGGTTGTTCGCGATGCGGCACAACCAGCCGTCTCCCACGCTGAGCAGGTTTCTTACCATCGTTTTCGAGGTCGTAAGAAGGTTCACTACAGCCAAGAAGCGCTCCAGGAAGCTTGGGTAAGATTCCCAGGCTCCATCCTTTCCCGTTCCCAGACGCGCACCCGAGTCACCTTGTTGCGCGTACCAAATGCGCAGGACCAACCTCCAACTCAGTTGCTCAGCTGTTTCCGGGTTCAGAACTTGCCCCAGGGCTTCTTCCTGTCGCACTTTCAAACTTGGCATTCTCTCAACCTGCTCAGGGGTAGGCAGAAGATCCGCTAGGGATAGGATTCGCCCGCTGCCTGTTCGGATTGGCGAGCCACCTGAATTGGAGGCTTTGCTGGACTTCCCTTTGTTTTGCGAGTTTTGCTGACGCCGCTTCCAGCACATTTCGTAAAGGGCTCTCTGGAGTGCGTCGCGCTCCTTCTTAGGCAGGCATGCCCTATGTTCCAGGTACAGATCCCACTTGTTTATGCCGAGGAGCACCCATTCGACATAGAAACAGTCTTCCTCATCAGTGAGCGGAAATGTCGGATCGTTGGATGGGTATGTGCACTTGTCGGGTTTCTTGAATAACAAGCATGTGGTTTGATCAATATTTGTGAAAGCCTCCGTCCGGTTCGAATACTTCAAATTACCAGGTACTGCTGGCTCCTGCGATTGGCAGTCCTCGATGAGCTGGAGGTCATTGAAGTCCTCTGGCTTGTTGATCGCAGGAATCATCTCCCTGCGATGCTTGAGCGCTTTGGTCGGGTCTACTGCACTGACATACGGGACGAATCTGGCGGGTATATTCTTTGGCCTTGTCGGATCGGAGCTGGTTGGATCACGTGGAGAGAGGGCCTGCGTAGTAGGATGTTCGATTTCCAGGTGGATTTCAGCAGCTCGCGTGTGCTCGTAGCGGTGTTGACTGTCCTCGGCCTGTGCCATGTTCTGCTGGAGGACTGAGTTTGCAGCGGTTCCGCGCTCAGGTGATCGAAGACGTTGGCGTTTCTGTGCGCGTGAAAGACCTTGTTGAGCAACGTCGTAATGGAAGTCGTTGGTTGATCTCTGGTCATGCAAGCTTGTGTAGGCTGCCGGCTCCGACGCTCTTGGCGGGATATTGGCAATATTCCCATAGAATCGGTGTTGCCATGTTGATTCTTGAAATGTGGCAAGATTCTGCGTTTGCAGGAAAGGTGTTGGAGATATATGACAGTTGGCGTGAGTAGGAGATGAAACAGATGGAGAGAGCATTGTCGTAGGGGCTTGAGGTCTGTTGATTAACCCATTGTTGTGGACTGGTTCACCAGAGAATGGTGATCCAGTTGTCGCATGGGGAGAACTGGCCATGTGGTTTGGCTGGTTCCGGTATACGTATCGAGGCATGGTCTGTCCATACTCTATCGGTTGATGAACTGTATGGTTGCGGCTTATCTGGACAGGCTGATGGTTGTAACCTTCCAACTGAGTACCGTTCCCCGACTGCGTAGTCTGCCCTTGTACGGATGGTTCAAGAGGCTGGTGGTGTGACCCGAAAGGGTGCTGGTTTGTATCGGGGTTCATGATAGATGAGGCCTTCATGCAAGTTAGTAAAGGATTTTTTTCCTGAGAAGGAGAATGAAGGAAGTAAATGACCGATAACTTCGACGATAGATAGAGATGGCGGAGCAAGATAAATCGATCTGACTGCGTTTGATCAGTAAGTGAAGAGTGTGGTTCGAGGAGTGAAGATTTGGGAGGAGGATCTGGGCGTAATTTATAGGCCGAAAAGATCTCTTGAGAACACCAGTGTAGGGAAGTGCACTTCACCTTTGAGCCCGAAACTTGCCAACGTTAGCGAGGGCAAACAAAGTCTGAGGCTCTAAGAAGATAGGTTAGTCAAGGTGACCTCTTCACCATCGAGGCAACGCACCCGACCGCGTCTGTAATGTAAAGAAGTTAAATTGGGAAACAACATGTGGTTCTATTATTTAGTGGTAGGGTAACTAGCTAGCTAAGAGAAGAATGTGCTTGGGGACAGGTTTTCATTGAGGATCATGGGTCTGCAGATGCAATATCATGAATACCATGAGTGGCTAAACTGCATATGAACAGACGCCCACAAAGTGATTAAAATGCTAGAATATTGAGAAACCGTTCATCTAAGTTAGAACTCGTGTTGTTAGACATGCTCAGCCGGCGAGAAGGCATTGTGGTGTAGGAAAGGGGCAGTTCTGGCAAATTGAAGCCGCATTCGTGCTTTTGCGACTTTGTAGATACCAGTGGATGAAAGGCTGGGCAACAGGGCTCTTCCCTACGGTGAACAATACACTATGGAACGGAAAACGCAAAAATCCTCCAGAGAACAAGATGATATAAAAAAGTGACGTAGCCCCACGTACAGCTTGGGAATCTAGCGAACTACGCCGCTTATTCTGGCGTAAAGGAAATCTCCTTTTCGTTTTCTTCCCCGTTTCTGCTCTTTGTTTTTACTTGTGCAACGCCACCAAAGGGGGAGCCTACTGTGTCACAGGTCCAGTGGCTGCGTCCGCCCGTTACACGCGCTGGATGGCTGAGGCCTTCCCCCCTCGCCATTGGCTTGAACAAGTTCACCCAATTTCCCCAGCACTCTTTCTGGCCTGAAAATACACCCCTTGATTCCCAGTATACAAACATAGTCGTGCTTGAACAGGCAATGCACTGTATTGTACGGATGGCCCTGAGGAAAACAGGCATCTGATATCTTCGCCCATCCCCTCACACAAGCATCCCAGGTCCTAAAACTGCAGTGCATACTGCTGCCTACCGTTCACTGACAGTCATTTCACGAAAATGATGTACAGCAGCGCCTGTTCAAATCAATTTTGGTGCATGCACGGCGATTGGGCGATGTATCACCCAACTCAGCACTTGGTCACATTCTCTGATTAGGCACGTTTCAGCTTACGTAGGCCTAGATTATGGAAATTATGCATTATCCCAACGCACAATCGCCTTTATTCTCGTCCAGCAAGCTAAGGAGACAAGGAGAGTGCTTGGAAGACTCCAATCTCGACCACCATTGCACCGCAACAGCACAAGCCCCTACGTGGTAATGAGGGATTTTCCCTGCGAATTCGAGCTTCAGCAAAGGATTAATTCCCGGGATGGGGATCTCCTTGCTTTCAATTTGACGTTCCATGGTGGAGAGACGTTTGCTGGGCCTTTCCTAGCCGTACCTTGCCGCCTATGCCGAGATCGATGCAATTTAACCCCACGGGCCCCCCGATTTTTGTCCAACCCAGCAATTCCTTCTCGCTCTTTATTCTTACGCAACCTTCCTTGACCCTGAAGCCCCCCGAGCTGCAGAAAGGGCGTGTTGCGGCTGCGATTCGGTCCCCCTACGACAATTATACACAGTACGCGCGCGTTGGAGGATTGAGGCTCTCACGACGTGCGGAGTCAGAACAATGCAACGCTACGACCAGCCTACACGACCCCTCTTGTTCACGCACGTTCGACACTCGTAGGTAATGCGATGCTTTACAGAAATTGCCATTTTTTAATGTGCGTTACGACTAACTACATTACAAGAGGTAGCGGTAGCCCGGTGCCAGATCCCCAAGGTCCTCCTTCTCCTCCTGCGTGAGGCCCTCGTCACCCGACCGACTCTTCTGCCTGTTCTGCAGCGTGCAGGCGGCAGCGTACGCGACGACCGCGACCATGCTCAGCACCGTGAAGGAGATGCAGATGCTGTAGCCGGGGATGTACTTGGGCTTGGCGGCGTCGGTGAAGCTGAAGCTGGCGATGATGCCGCCGATGTTGCCGAAGCCGACCTGCCAGGCGGAGCCGATGGAGCGGCGGTGGTGGCCGCCGAGGTTCATGTTGAACCAGCACACGATGATGGGCATGGCCGTGTACGCGCCCGACGCGACGAGGAAGAGGGCGGCGTACTGGACCGAGGTGTTGTTGTGGACGGCGATGAGGGTCGCGAAGCCGGCGATGGCGACGCAGATGGCGAAGATGGCGAAGCCGAAGCGGTGGCGCATCTTGTCGGAGCAGACGGCGATGGTCATGGAGAAGGCGAAGGCCACGGCCCAGGGGGGCACGCTGTGCAGCTGGGTCTGGATGGAGTCGTATCCGTAGCCCTGGATGATGCCCGGGGCGAAGTACGCATAGCTGTACTGCGGAGGTGTGTCAGTCTCGGATGCCCAAGATTCAAGATTCTTCGCGTCGGAGGCTAATTCTAATTGAACTTACAGCAGGGACGATCAGGCCAAAGTACATGAAGCCTCCGAGAATGATCTTATAGTCCTTGAAGACGTTTCCGACATCCTTCCACCCGACGCTGCGGTCTCGCCCGGAGGAGGACTGGCCCTGGTCGATTCGGAGACGAGTGGTGACGAATTCCTTCTCCTCAGCGGTGAGCCACTTGGTCTCCTCGGGGAAGCAGGGCAGGAGGAAGTACAGGGCGACGGCGACAATGACGGTGAGACCACCCTCGAGGATGAAGATCCACCGCCATCCCTTGTATCCCCGGAGACCGTCCATTTTACCGATCGCGGCGGCCAGCAGGCCACCGAAGGCACCGGCCAGGGTGGTACTGTTGAAGAAGAAGGAGTAGCGTCTCTGGGCCTCGCTGCGCTTGTACCACATTCCGATCAGGTAGAATGCTGCGATGCTGTCAGTGGATGCGACCCGGTTTGCCAATCGCTGCTCGACGTACCTCCTGGAAACATGCCGGTCTCGAAGACGCCAAGGAAGAAACGGGTGGCGAGCAGGCCGCTGTAGTTCTTGACGAGACCCTGCAGCAGGGTGACCAGGCCGAAGCCGAACATGTTGATGGAGAGCCAGACACTATTTTGGTTCTTGGTCAGCAATTTGCCGAGGCGGTAAGCAATTGGAGGGTTTGGAGCTTCCGGCTTACTTTGGGCGCAGCTTCTTCAACAGCAGGTTGGAAGGGATCTCGAAAAGAATGTATGGCACAAAGAAGATGACCAGTGCGGTGTTGAATTGTGTCTTCTCGAGTCCGAGCTCGGCCGACAAGCCAAAGACATTGGCGTTTGAGATGTTGACACGATCTTTCGCGGCCTGTCAGCATTGCGCACGTTCCCGACGACTTGTTCACGACGGCATCAAGGACGCGCATGGAAACTCACCCAGAAAGGCCAGCAGGTACATAATACACAGGAAGGGCACGACGTGGAGATCGATCCTGGTCATGAGGCGGCGCTCGGTGGTGTGCGGCGGGCACTGGACCTCGGCGACGGGAGCAGCGACAGTCGCGCCGACAGCCTCCTCGGACTGGACATCGCCGGACGACTTCTCGTTGGGGAAGGCAGACATGATGGCGGGCAAACAAGCGGACGATCGATAAACACGCCCCGAGCACGAGAGACGCGAGAGGGGGGCTGGAATGGCCGGGAGGGGTTGCGAGGAGGAAGAGGGTGTCGCAGAGAAAATCCGGGGAACCAGCAGATTTACTGCCCGAGGCCGCTGACACCCTTTATACCTACTGCTCGTCGGCTGGACTGGTCCCAGAGCAGAAAGATTTACACTCTCACCTGCCTGCCACATGGGCCGACCAGCCAAATAACGCTGCGACTATTACTCACTGGCTCCGCAAGACCGTCCCAGCCGGAATCGGGGGCACCAATCACATCGTACTGGGGCAATAGATGCCCGGGGGACGAGCTGGGAACCTTGTTTGCCGTGGACCGTGGATGATCCCTCGCTGACAGCTTCTCAAGTCGAGTTTGGAGCGTGGTGAAGGCAGAGATGCCAAGACGGGCCGAGGAGGGCGAGCCGCTAGACCAGGAGAGGCCTCGCTCATGGAACTTTTTCTTCTTCTTTTCCAATGCTTATTCATTCGGCTCTGCTCAGCGCGACGAACCGATCCGTCATGTGGCTTGTCCTGCGCTGGATTATTAGCGGCTGCTGGAGAATGGGCAGTCTAGTCCCGCTGGAGCAGCCAGTAACAGGCGCTGGCCCAGCGGATGGTGCGTGCTGCAGCTGCTGGAACCGGGAAGGGGCCCTGCTGGCGCCCCGCGCTAAACCCCGCAATCTCCTCACAACCCTGCCAGATGCCCTCAGACGCTCCTCGGCTTCTGCCTTCTCCCCGACTCTTCTCTATCCTCATGTCATCTTGCCTTCTTCAGGCAGCGACACGAGTCCAGCTGGCCGTGGCAAGCTTGGCATATCACACCTTCCTAAACATCGCCAGACTCTATCCCCAGCATGGTCCCAACCTGCGCCGACTCGTCTCAACCCGTCCCTAAACGCCCCTAACAAGGGCAAGGAAGAATTTTTCTTGCAAAGTGGAGAGACTGGCCGACCATCGGAGACTTAATTAAACACAACGCGCTTCCCCCACCGAGTTGCCACCGCGAATGGGGCTCCGATCATCTCCGGTCTCCGGCCTTAACAATGAGATGAGGCGAGTTTTGGAACAAACGAGCACTCCTGGCGCCTGGAATCTGGCGAATTCAATATCCACTAGTTTATTTCTCCAATTTTCTCCAATTCTTCCTGGTCATTGAGTCATGCGCTACCTCCATTTTGGGACTTGACGACTATGACGCTTCTCCGACCACATCAAGAACGGATCCGAGGCAAGGAGAGGGAGACGATCCTTGCTGTCTTTTCTCTTCAAGATCTAATTCTGGTCTCTCGAGGGACCCTAGCCTGTTCGATTGCAGAGCCTTTCTTCTCTGGAAGCCGACTAAGCTGCTGCTCGAGATCCGCGACAGGCCTGCCCGCTACTGACTCTTTCCCGGAACGTGGCGGCCATGCTTAGTGCCCGCACCTGGTCCTCCTGGCGGTGAGTAATCGATTTATAGTTTGGTCTTCTCTCACTGTGAACTGGATGGCTTTCTGGCCCGTAATTCCGAGTTCCGAGACGCTGTTTGCCCATTCAACTCCTGTCCACTCATGACTCGACCCCGACTGCCTGACCAGTTTGTCCATGTCACTGAACCAGCCTGTGAGACTGTGAACCCTTCATTGATGTATATAATAGCACGTGTTATGTGCTAGCTGGTACCAGTAGAGACAATATGCGGATCGGTAAACTTCAAGGCCAACACCAAAAACAAGACAAACGCTGCGGCCGTAGCAAAAGAAGCATCCTTATTAGGACTTCAAGGCGAGATACAGCCTCAAAAAGCTGTCTCTCTGACTAAAACAAGTTTATTGATACGAGAGCTACACAATTCGGTGCAGTGATTCCAGTAATTGTCACCCGTGCGAGTCCATCGGCTGTTTGCTGCGCGGTTGATCAGTACTTAACTTGGCTCACTCAGTTTCCTGTGTTGTCTTCAAACCTCATTTGTTTTGCTAGGTACGCAGACACGTCCAGTTCCTTAATTTTGGTGTTGAAACGATATACAACAATGATCGTCCTTACCCGTTTTAACATCAATTGGACTTACAAACGGTAACACCCAAAAAATCAATGAAAAACTTCAATTTTGGGGAGTCTGATGCAATGAGGAATAAGATTCGAATTCTGGGCCTTTACCTTGAATTTTTGATAATCCGTCTGACAAATCCGGAAAGAAGCCAGCAAACATCTCCACCGGTAAAGGCTTGAATCGACGAGTTTCAGAGTGCCGAGGCAGACAGCGACATGACTGATGCAGGATAGGAGGATGGGAGTATTTCTTTTATTGAACCAAAATTGCGTATCTATGGTTCCCATTCAAGGTATTGAAAAGTCTCCTAGGCAACGTTGATAACACCCTCGAGCCTCAGATCCCTGCTGCTTGCTCCGACATTTACGACAATCTTACCTTTGGGGATGGTCCATACTTGATCTTCCGCGTTCCATATACTAAGATCCCTGCGTAGGAGAGAAAACGTCACTGTCGCTGAGGCATCGGGGTTAAGAAAGACCTTGTCAAAGCCACGTAGCTGCCGGGGTGTATCAGTTGACTCCGGAAGAGTGATATATAATTGGGCGGCTTCTGCGCCAGCGACCTTTCCAGCGTTGGTAATCCTAGCAGTGACTTTGGCAACCTCATCCCAAAGATCCCTCTGACCTCCAGGGGAGATTTTACCGCCGGCAGGGCCGCTCCTTGCCTGAGAGCTGATCTGAATGTCGGAGTACTTGAACTCGGTGTATGCTAGTGAGTGAAATGAGGTCAGCCTAAGAAATCCCATTTACAATTGCTGATGGCCAACACATACATAGTCCAAACCCAAACTCATACTCTGGCTCGATTCCCTCCCTATCAAAGTGACGATAGTCAATATAAAGGCCCTCACTGAAGTCATCATCTGTTGGCAGGGATTTCGTGTTATAGTCGGCTGCATCCTTCGCAATAGTAAACACCAGCTTGCCGCTAGGGTTCACATCACCCCAGACAACATCGACCAGAGCGTTGCCACTCTCCTGCGACGGGAGCCCACCCCAGACGATCGCCTTGACCGACGGAAGCTTTAGTATTGGTGTGAGAATGATAGGCCCGACGGCATGTACCACGACGATGATATTCTCGCTGACCTCTGCCACAGCTTGGACGAGATCGTATCCTTTGTCATCTGGTTCTAGCGCACTAGACCGATCACGGCCTTCTGTTCCGAAGCTTGTGAGAAAGACAAAGACGGCGTCTTTGTCTTTTGCTGCGCTAGCGCCCGATTCCGGGTCATCAGTCTCGCTTTGTGCCACCTCGCCCCCGGAAGTCGCCGCCTTTTCTCTAATGGCATCGATCGGGGCATTGAAGTATGGGTATCGGGCTGCTCCGGAGCCCCCGCCCATTCCAACCGCGCCGGCGGTGGTGGCGCCCGAGCCAACCACAGCGATACTCTTGGGTGATTTGAGAGGAAGGATGTTGCCTTCATTTTTGAGCAAGACGGTGCCGTCGCGGGCTGTCTTGCGGACGTTCTCACCGTGGTTACTCTGGACATCACGGGTAAAGTCAACCGAAGGGTATCCCCCATCTTGCCCTGTTTTGTAGTATCCGGCGAGGATACGGAGCGCCATGTCTGTAACACGCTCCTTCTTGACCTTTCCACACCGGATGGCGCGCTCCAACTTCGCACCCCATAGGGTACTCGAGCTATTGTAAGCTGATCCGGGCATGGACATGTCAAGACCAGAGTTGGCGCTCAGCACAGTGGTATGGTGCGCGCCCCAGTCAGACATTACGTATCCCGGGAACCCCAGTTCTGTCTTGAGGAGCTTGTTGAGGATATGGTCATTCTCACATGCCCACACACCATCGAGCTTATTATAGCTACACATCACGGAGGTAGCTCCGGCACGAACGGCGTCATAGTATGGCCAAAGATAGACCTCATGCATAGTCCGGTCATCGATGTTACTCGACATAGTAGTGCGGTTGAGTTCCTGTTCGTTTCCAATATAGTGCTTAATGCAGGCCTGGACCCCAGTCCGTTGCATTTCTTGAATGGCGATGGCAGAATGGACGCCATTGAGGTAGGGATCGGAGCCCCATGCCTCCCAGTTGCGACCTGCTTCTGGTATTTTGCCGATCGGGCCGGCCACAGGGCCGAGCAGAACCTGGACGCCCAGGGCTTTGGCTTCCTCACCGTGGAATTGGGAGCGCTGACGAACGAGCTCCCTATCCCAGGTCGAGGCCGCGTGGATACTAGGGGTGAAGGCCGTAGCGGCCGTGGCACGGCTCACGCCCAGGGGCCCATCATTCAAGCACAGGGAACGATAGCTGATGGAGTCAACAGGGTTGTTGTTTCCTACGCATGTGCCTCGTCCTTGTCCCGTAGCGAGGCCAACCTGCTCTGAGATGGAGATTTTGGCTACGGCTGCCCTTGCTTTGGCATAGGCTTCATCCCAACTGATTTCCGCTGCTCATCTGTTAGTGTTGAGATCGTAGATGGAAGGCTAAGAAACATGCAAGAATGTGGGTATTGAAAAGAAGGTATCACATACCTGTCACGAATGGTAGGACCGCAAATGCTACCGTTGTAACAACTGCTTGATGCATTTCGAAGATATGATGCGAAGAATTAAGAGATAGCAGAAAGACTGGCCTTCTAGTGTGTTGAGATGAGAGACCGTCCAACAACTAGCAGAGTAGAAGTGAATGGGTCAGTTATTATACAATTTGGGGCTCAAGAAACTCGGCAAGTCGGAATCTTTGTCGTCTTGGCACTATCACACGTTAGGCCCAGCATTTTGATACTGATCAATGGCATGCCAATGCTTTCAGCTCCGCTGCGTCGCATTCTTGACTAGGTTTATGTCAATATGAAGAATTCTCGGATCCAAGGGCTATAGTTATGCCGATACAACCATCTTGGTTACATCAGTCACCTCAAGGTGTGGGGAATCGGTGGGCTCATGGCTGTGTTAAAGTTGACCAGCATACATGACTTCCCCGCAAAACTACCCATTCGGCGAGTATTCAAGGCCTCGTGGGACCTCCTTGGGCCTCTACTCTGTCATGTGTGCCTAAACATGCCACATGGGTAAATTAAACCTGCATCCCCCTCGTTCGGGTGATTAGGCAGGGCCGATTATATTGATGGGGCCATGCGCATACACGGGCTGTTGTAACGAGAACCTCGGGCATGGTGCGTTGGAAATTGTGTAATGATGACCAATTGTTGTTGGTGGGGGAGGGGGCATATAGGAATAACCGCGGGGAGGGCGAGAAACACGAACCTCTGGAGTTTGTTTATAGCCAAATAGACATCGGAAACCTGACATCGAAGTTGGGTCTTCGGCTTTGACGAACTACAGGTGGTGCCGTAGCTGGACAAGGCAACATTGAACGGCGGAGCGCACATAAACGAACCATGACATCGGCTAAATGAGGATGGTATTTGTTAGACGCGACCAAACCGACGGGACTAAGAAGTAGAATCATGGGTGTGGTGGTGAGATGTCTCGTCTCAAATACTGAGGCTCATACTCTTGATCTTCACAGTTGGGACAGGGGATTGTAGCCACAATCTTCTGACGCCGCTTCGTCCTGGATGCCCAACTTGGTTCGAAAGATCGCAGCGCGGACAGCAAACTAGGCTACCTGTCCAGACTTTTTGACATTGATGATGTAAGAGTGTCGCCGTCACGAGTTAAAAAGTCTGGGGGAGTACGGTGCACTATGCATGACCGATGGGGGGCACGAGATTTTATGATTAGGCAATAGTAGATCAGGGGCAAAAGTTCAAAATAACCAGTATATTTGAGTATTTTCGAGATAATTATAAGTACATGCTTCGCTCATGCAGGCTCATCGTGCAATGCTCAGCTCCACCACTATTTTTGACGTTTTTCATGAAGTCCTATTAATGAAAGATGCCAAATCTAGAATAGAACAAAATCGATGAAGCTCGATCAGTTCTTTATTTGACCCGTAGGTTGCAGAGGCAGTACTGGCCATTGGAAGCGTTCGAGGCGCAAGGGCCGCAAGGCACGCCATTCTTGTAGCAGTGCTTGCGGCCATCACTCGCCTTGCCGCATGTACCATTGCCGCCGAGCTAGAAACTGTATTAGAAAGCAAGGATAGAAGGAGAAACCAAAGTATAGGACTTACACGGCGGAAGAGCTCGCGCTTCTCAATGTACTCCTCACGGGCGGCGAGATATTCATCGTGGGCACTTTCAGCCAGAGCACGGCGGGACAAGCCAGCATCGGCCTCCTCAGCAAAATGCGCAGCAGCAAAGCTGGAAAGGGCAAAGATAGAGACGACGGTCTTGATGAAATGCATTTTGGAAAAAGAGGAAGTAAGTTTGAGGCAGATATAAAATAGTGAGATATCTGAGGACGATGTGAGGGAAGACAGGAATGGATTACTGCGAATCTTGATGCTGAAGAAGAATTTTCAGGATGATGGGAGAGGAGAACCGTGATATACTTGTTCTATTCTATTTTTACATCATGTATTTGCCCCTTGGTCTTGAGGATTTCATGATCTTGTTTAACCAGTACTAGACACTTCGGTGGCTTGGCCTAAGATCCTTAGGCTTCGTAAACTACCCTCTCAGTACCTGGCTCACATCCGAGAGTTAGCTAGAGCAGCTTGAAGATAGTCGCGCCTAGGCCAAGTGGGCGGAGATCTCTAGTCCAAACCTGGCAAGAGGTAGGTTATAACGGTTTCTCAAACACCCTAAATGCATTAGTGGTGGCGGCAAGGAAGACCCAAAGCGGTACTATATAATAGATCTAAAACTCTTTAATATTATTGTAGGCTTTTCATACTATTTGAGACAGCATGCGTGCTACTACGACTTAGATATAATCGAGATGATAGTTGATGTTTATTAACTCTACCGCAACGCTTAGGGGTCATCTGAACGGCAAAATGTGTAGACTTGAAGGAAGGCGGCAGTTGAAGTTTGCCATGAAAAATCAGTTGAAGATTAAGGTCCACCGGCATGGAACTGAATCCCGGACCTCGTAACACATGCCACACTGGAATCTTATAGGATCATAAACGTGTTTTTAATTTAACATGGTGGGGGCCATGGGGCTCCGCAAGCATTGACTACCGACATGACTCAACCGCTCCTGTGGGATCGTGAACTGGGGCCACTTGTCAAATTGGGCAGGGTTGATGGATTTTCTGTAGAAAAATAATGCCCATTTCACCTCTTTATATCTTCTGTTGAAAATCCCCCTCTTGAAAGATGCCGTCTTTCTGTGACTTTGCCGTAGCTGCGATAGGTCAAAACTAGCTGAAAGCATGGGCTATTTGTAAATCTAAACCCCATTTTATAGTTGTTGTGGAATGATGTTTGATTTTGGTGTGGTCGGCAGCTTGGATTTTCAACTCGCAAATCCATGGTGCGGTGTAGTGTTATCCCTAATCCAATAGCTCGATATTCTTGCTAATAATAAATATCCTAGTGGCAACGTAGAGGGAACGGACCTTTTATAATTTCCCAGGAACTCCTACTCTGCGGAATCCTTCTATATGATCCCATGTTGTAATCATGTCTCTGGCTTTACGGAGTTGTAGAAATGCCTCTGTTGGCTCTGGCGGAGACTGACTACCTTAGAGGAAGGCGTAAAGACGCTACAACAATGAACTCGTTCCACGCGATCTTGTTGTTCTGTGTTGCTTGGTGTTGACGCTGGCGGTGGATACCTCGCCGCCCGCGATGAGTACATTGAGAAGCATGAGCTTTTCTTCGCGTAAGGACGATATATATTGATTTTATGTCTCTCTAGATTGCTAATCAAGTCTGTAGCTTGGTAGCAATGGTAGTTGCCGCGAATAGGGCAAGGGGAATAAGCGCTGCTACAGGATGAACCTCAGTTCAATTCCTTTTAATGCAAAGTAAGCCCCGAAGCTACCCCAAAGGCCACCACAAACGCACACAATTGTGAGCAATGTGGATATATCTGGCACCAATAGCAATAGAATTGCCACGAAGAAGTCACAGCACAAGTGGGGTATTTGTTTGCATGAAACTGTAAATACGTATCTATCTTGGCAGGTTCTAGAGTCTCCTAGGCGCTGTCTGGGTTCGGAGCCTGGGAAACATAGCAAGAGATCGACCTGGGTCTCTCCATGAAATATGTCGTGTGGCCATAATGACCCAGGAATCGTAACCCTGTTGTGCTAGATCACTTAATGTTGGGGTAACAAAAGTGTGGCCCTTTAATATCATGGATTCAAGAATATGATGGCCTGAACTGCTACGACCCTACCTCACCAAGACGACATGAGCTTACCACATTACTAAGAGCACTTTGGGTTGCATTAGGGTTGTTGTGATTTCTGTATTTATTTTCCCCGCACAGAGCCTGATTCTCGATCATGCGATATTGAGCTATTATGTTCCACTGAATGACTTGGTCTCGGGACGCCTCACGCACACCTCCGGAGCATGAAAGACGTGTATGGTGGCAGAGGAATATTTCTTACTGGCTGTATATGTGAAATTGCGAGAAGTCTTCATGTGAGGCCTACTCGTGATGGCTGAACAAAGATTTGGTCATACCCATACCCGCTCCAGAGCTTCAGGACCCGAGTACCTTGCGGTACCAACCCGGAATCTTCTTTTGAGCAAGAATGGTTACTACTCGGAGGACGATAAGTATGATAGGAGGAGTCCACCAGTAGTTACGTCAACAACGCCTCGAATTCCCTCGCCCCCGGCCAGCAGTCGAAGGCGATCTTTCGGAGACGCTATGGAGCCTGGTGCTATCATCCCCTACCGTGAACGCGATCATGAAAGCCAGACAAGGGAGTCTATCAGGAGCAATGAATGTCGAGTTCCCTCCCCTCCCAACACTAGCCGACGTAATCAGCCCCTTGAGGGGGTGTATCGGATAGAAGACCCCCGAGAGAAGGGCCGCGGGCAATACGACTATCGCGAAACACAAGAAGTATCTGGGCCGAGCAACCCGCACTATCATACTAAAACAGTTGGAAGGTCGGATCATGACGTTTTGGAACCATCTCCCAGGTCGCTTCCGCCTCCAGAACGTCGCCAAAGGCTCTGTGATGTTCCCCGTTCGCCATGGCCCAATAGATCGGACGCTCCGACTCCACAAAGCGACTCGGAGTTCCTATCTGCGGCTTACAGACAACGAACTGGGGCCGTCGAGGAAAATATTTCCACAGGGTTACAGCGATCTAAAAGTGATAGAACTCCAAGTTCGCATCGGTCGACCCCAACCTCGGCCGAGGGCGAATGGACCAGACCCCAGCTGACTAGATCTACCTCCTCTTCCCTTGGTGATAGAACGTATCAGTACAGGTCGCTGGATTACGAGTCCATAAGATTGATCAACGTACTTCCAGAGAGGAAAACTATGATCAAATGCGAGATAATTCAAGTTCCTCTTGAACAGCTACCTCGATATGTGGCCATCTCCTATGCCTGGGGGGATCCAGGAGACACGTGCAAAATCGATATTGGAGGCAACTCTATCCCAATTTCGGTCAGCCTCCACGGGGCTCTCCAAGCTCTTCGTCAAAAGAATGAGCCCGTGCTAGTGTGGGCAGATGCTTTATGTATCGATCAAGGGAACAGAGACGAGCGGACCCAGCAGATACAGCTTATGCCCAACATCTACTCGAATGCCGACTCGGTGGCAGTTTGGCTTGGCGCTGAAGGTGACGATAGCGCCAAGGCCGTGGATTTTATCCGCAGGTTAACTGACCAAGCTAAATATCCAAAACAAGTCTCCCGGCTCTTGGCATCCGGAATGAGTAACGGCGATCTTGCTGGCGTTGTATCTTTGTTTGGCAGGGATTACTGGAGGCGACTGTGGGTTGTGCAGGAACTGCTCAACGCAAACGAAGTCATCGTCTACTGTGGCTCTACAAAGCTTCCATGGCGGTCATATCAGCTCGTATCGGAATTGTTCTTTGAACATCGGCATGAGCTGGCTTTCCAAAGCATGCAGATGAACCGCAAGCGTCTAGCTGTCTCACCAGACCAGTTTAGCTACGACCAGGTGTTGATTTATCAGGGTCCCGCCAGTCTTCCAGACCTTCGAAGCTATATGGAGGATGGAGAGGGGGCCTTTCTTGAGATTCTGCGTGCCTGTAGACGGAAGCTTGCCTCAGATCCAAGAGACAAAATATTCGGCATTCTCGGAGTCTTGCCCAAAGAGGTGCGAAACGAATTCCCTCCCGATTACAATCTCTCGGTAAAGGATCTATACACAGAAGTAGTCGACTTCCTCATCAAGACTACGCAGCGGCTGGATGTTATCTGTGAAGCAATACATTTCCCTGTCCATACCAGCTCTGCCGACCTACCCTCATTCATCCCGGACTGGTCACATAGTCCTCAGACAGCATCAATGGGCCACAGGTATAATTTCTCAGCAGCAGGTTCCACGAAGGCCCGCTGTACATTCCTCGATCAACGCTTGAACAAGTTGGAAATTGAAGCAATCCCACTTGATTCAACCAAGATCAAGGGCGTCGCAGTCGGGACTCTTTGCAATTTGGGAGACTATCTCATGGCTTTTCTACACTGGAGAGCTCTGCTCCTGGGTGAATTTGGTCATGAAAAGGACCGACATATCCGAGAGGCGGAGGAGGATTTCGTGATGGCAATATGCTTGGAACAGATTCCATCTAAATATACCCCTTCGCAGTGGCTGCCCGTATGCTACAACGTTTTTGCTAACCTTCTTCAAGAACGGCTACCGTACCTTTCTTTGGATCCAACTTTGATGAGATATCTCGATGCTCCTGTTGATATTGAACCGAAGCATAGAAGGGAATACTTACAAAAAGGGTTCGGGGATAAAATGATGGGGCGAAGCTTGTGTATTACCGAATCTGGCCGGATTCGAATGGGCTCGGGCTTTATGCAGCCTGGTGATCAGGTCGTCGTGCCCTTGGGCTGTTCAACTCCCATTCTATTGAGACCTGATGCGGTTCGTATCAGTTATCGATTTGTGGGCGATGTTTACATTACTAGATACATGAATGGGGAAGCTGTCGAGCACTTGAGGGCAAGAGAGAGAAGTCTCATGAAATATGTGCTTCAATGAATATTGCCTACCGTTCAGGTATGGGTGAAAGAGGAATCGAACGAACGAGATCTTTGTGTTTCATAGTTTCAATAATTTCCTTTAATTTTCAATATCTCGAATAATATGGATAAGAACTGAGGGCTGCGCAGGGTTTGTAGTTTTTACTACCGTGTCCGGCTCACCAACGACTTAGTCACCTCCCCCAAATGATATTATGCTAAGCGTATGCTAAGCGTTTAATTAGTATTTTGGGTGTGTTATTTATTTATTTTTTCCTTTTTTACACGTCAATGGTGAATCTATTCTTCTCTAGGTACTACTTCCATCACGAGAAGCTTCAGATAATGCGGTGAGGGAGTCGCGAGGATAATGCCTCGCAGATGCCGTTGAATCTGTTTCAGTCCCCCTCCGCAGACTCGAGCTGCCACTTCCTAAGCCTGTCTGTTGTAATAGATGATGAATATCTGATTTATTAAAACCTTTTTGTCTAAGACCATCTTGGGCATGCCTTTGATAATCATCCCTATGATCGACGTTGGCGCCGCGATCCAGTAGTGCTCTCACAATTCGTTTTGTTGAGGCTCTTTTTCCTTTGTTGAAGCATGTCAATATCAGTGGAGTCTCACGAATGTAGTTCTCGGCATTGGTATCGGCACCATAAGAAAGAAGGACCTCCACAATCGCCCAGTCATCTCTCTCGCATGAGTGATGAAGTGCTGTCCCAATATACGGGCTTTGTGAGTTGATATCGATGCGCTGCGGGTCTTCTAAACTTTCATCTTGTTGTGGGAGCGTCGATGGTGCCACACTGGGCCTTCGTGATTGGATTTTCTCCAAAAGAAGTCTCATAATATGTGCATCCCTGCAGACGTGAAGCACAGTTTCCGACATGTCTCTTTCGGGCGTTCTGAGATCGAGGTTGGCACCTTCTTCAAGGAGCACTTGTACAGCTGAAAGCTGCCCCTTTTCTACTGCCATCAATAGCGGGGTCATTTCTTTCTTCCCTCTAGCATTGATCGCATTTCTATCGGATGCCAGTTGCCTCAACACTTCTGGGCTGATATCTGGATCGCAGACAGCTTTGTGGAGAGGAAAATCTCCATCTGCGTCTCTCTGGTTGGAGAAGCAAGGCGGCGTGCTCGTTTCATCAACCTTGAAGTTCTTCCTCCGACACCAAGCAATGGTATTACGGTATTCTTGGGGCTCTAGTGTCGGGTCGTGGCCTAAACGGCGAGCAAGCATTTGTCTGAAAGCCCCCACCTCGATGAGAAGTGAGTTGTGCTGGTATGCTTGAATGATGCCCCAAGCAATAGATTTTACCTCTTCTTTATTGTTTGGGTAATTCCGCAAAAATCCTGGCTCAAAAATTGCAAGACGAAGGAAGTGTGCTGCATGAGTCCACCTCTGCACTTTGAAATAAAGGTTACCGATATCTCGGCGCAGGTGGTGCAGGTCAGAAGCGTCGAGTTCGCGTGTATCGGCAGCTGCTAGGATCTCTGCGTCTTCTGCAAGTTTATTTAAGCGCTTTATACCTTCTATTCGTCGACCAGCTTGAAGACATTTGATTAAAATGCCAATATGATCTGACTCGAGCTTAGTCTTGACGGAAATGTTAGGCTCACTAGCCTCGGAGAGTTTCTCGTAGCAATTTATGGCTTCGGCATGGTAGTTTGCCGCCGCATCTGGGAACTCTTGTTCTGAAGCCAGGTCTGCCATTTTTCTGGCCTCGCTGAACCTGAGTCCCAGCTCTTCTGGGGTGACGTGGGTTTCTAGCGGAGGAGGTTCGGGAAGGGTGGGCTGCTCGCTGATGGGAGAGAGTTCCCAGCCCTCAACGGGAGTTTGGCTCTCTGAATGCAAGGTTCGAATAATAACTTCGTTGAAGATTTCAAATGCTGAGTTGTTAAACTGTCGAATATCTCTGAGATATTCCTCTGCTCTTTCCTTGGATTTCGGATCAGAAACATCCAAGCTAGGCGTCATAACCTCAAAATCTGAACTGAAAGTCGATTCACGACTGCTAAACTTTTGGCTTAGATTCCGAAGCCCATTGAAGTAATCCTGGTCGACGGCAGCAGGGCTTTCCTCATACCTCCACCTGGATCTTACCATTAGTAGGGAATCCTACCGACAGGGAGGAGCGCGATGATGGAGGGATTTAGCCTACAGATTGGAAGTTGCCATGTGTAAATGGATAGCTGCCGTTTCGATTCGCTTCATTGCATTCTCGTTCAAATTAAGGGCGAGATCAGCAGCCTTGTAGGGCCTTGAACGGAACACTCTTGCAAGCATTTTGGGCTTTGGCAATTTGTCTGGGGGTGGGATACTCCTTCTTACATCCTCAAGATCATTGTTTATTGTTTTTACGACTCGGGCAATTGAGCTGTAGTACTCCATTCGTCTTTCGTCTTGATTCGGAGATTTTTGTCGCTGGAGGAGCAGAGTCAGGGTCTCACTTAGGTTTTTCTCTACCAGACCGCAGACCGATATCAGATGATCTATTTGCCGATCGACATCTTTGATAGCGTCGTAGGCCTTGTATACCAGTCCAATAGTTCCAACCGCACCACTGATGATCCGAATCGCATTGGTGAGTTCTCTGACACCAGACATTGCTTCAGCGGCACCTTGCGCCACGGGGGTTTTCGGATTACACCCTACGACTCGGGAGGATTGGGTGATGGCCTCAAGTACCATACGTTAAATATGGCCATTTGCTTGAGAAATGTTGCGAATATGTTGGAAAGGGGCTTCGAACAGGTGCACCAGATGAATGGAGGAAGCTAGACGTGGGTGGATGAAGGAGAGATGTCCTTTCCCCACGCGTATTGTGGAGTAGAGCACTCATGAATGGGAGGGGAACAGAAAGCACTTTCAGCAGCTTGGCTCAGAGGGAGCCAAATGGGAATTCTTGAAGAGGGGGGGTGGTGGCACATGTCCTCAGGCAGTGATTGGTGACGACAGCGTCATCGAAAGCGTGGCTGAGACTCTGGAAGCGCAATTTTGTGTCATAATATTGATGAGGGGTCACTCGACCTCAATAAAATAGCGTCGTAATGACCCGTGCTGATGGTCGACAGTGTTGGGACCCAATCAGGACACTTCTCTGTAAGGCTCGCATTCAGCTTGCGGAGGCTGGGACAGGGGTTTGGCGCAAGTGTTCGGCTGTAGGAGCTGCCAGTAAGCATAAGAGAACTTTAAAAAACTCAAATGGGCGGTCACGGCATGATACCGGAGCACAGCGTCGGCGGGTTACTAAGATAAGGCTTTCGGGAACTGGGCCTACGCCCGTTTACACTTGAAGATAGTGGTTTTGAATCCCCATCACCAGTATCGGAAGAGTGGCTACATGAGCCTTTAGGCATTCACGAGCCCATCGGATCGTTCAAATCATGGGTCAAGTACATTGGACCCACGCGGGGTGAGTGAGTGTTCAGGCTGGGGTGTGGTTCCTGGGAAAATGTCTTAGAACGCCAGTGAGACCTTGCCCCTGGCGATGTGAGACAAGGCTCTACGGACGGGATTAGTTCCAGCTATAGGAATCATTGAGCGCCACACGATGGCTTGATTAAATGAGAATGGTCGCTGTGTAATTACATTTTCATGCGTCCTAGGAGAGGGTAGCCAGTCACACGAGTGGTGACAACAAGGGAGGTGTGGGATGATGCAGGCGGACGGCCGCCTGGGTGTAGCCATATAAGTGAGGCGTGCAGCTGACGACTGCCCCCGAGGTGGTGTTTACCTTAGCAAATATTATGGCAGCCTAAACTATACACTTATATATACATCTGAGGGTACAGGTCAAGCACCTAAGTCGGGGGAGGCCTTCACTATTTGGTCACGCGATACATCCCAACCGATCTGTTCAGCCTGTACAGCAAACAGTACCGCAACAAGCATGGAGGACCAGAGTTCAGAAAATACTCCGCATCATAGAAAGACTTTCGGAGATTTAGCACGCTCCTTTACAGCAAATCGAACGAATCTGGACCGAATTGACATCGCCGACCCCCTACGTGAGCAGCAAGGTCTCCTATTTCCATTTCATTGACCACAGTGATGTTGACCATTTCCCAGGTGGTGTATCGAATCCGGACATTCGAGATGACATGCAGCAGCTGTTTCCTAGCTCGCAAAACTCCCAGATCAATCAGGACGAATGGGACAAAGCGATTATTCTTGCCAAATTGGGTTCCCGACCTCCCCCACTAAGTCGCTTCACGCAGGAAGAATTGGGCAGTTTGAAAGCCGAGCGGGAGCAAGTGCTCTTCCAATCTGAGATCCTCCCAGTCATCCTTACGGTTGCTTTGGCGGCCTTTCTTCAAGGACATGTGCAATCATCCATTAACGCCGGGTCACTTTTTGAATCGCTCCTGAAGCTAGACGCGAGCAACAATGAAAACGAGATTGGAACTCGCAGGAAAGATTGGGAAATTGGAGGAATGAATGCTAGCCCTTACCTGGCTGCTGCCATTATTGGGGCCCCAATATCACTTCCAACAAATTACTACATTGGCAGACGCGGCGCCTTGATTGTATCCGCCATGCTCATCATTGCGAGCTCTGTATCGTCTGCCTTTTGCCAGGACTGGATCCAGCTTCTTGGTGTTAGGATCATCGGCGGAGTTGGTAAGCTACCGGTCTCCTTCTCTTAAATTCTTACATCTAGTTATGTCTACTTGAGTGAAATTCCACATTAACCTAAGTCGTTAGGCATGGGAATCAAGGCCGTTAGCGCGCCTATCCTAGCAGCGGAAACTGCGACCGGATATTGGAGGGGGTCGATATTGATAACCTGGCAGTTGTGGTTCGTTTCGAGACCATTTCGTACCTCTAATTTAGTCCGAGAGCGCTGACCTTTGTCCACTCACAGGGTCGCCTGTGGCATAATGATAGGCTTCGTGGCCAACCTAGTGATTGCAAAAGCCACGGACGTCCTGTTTCTCAAACAAAGCGATATTGAAACGAGCGACAGCGACCACTACCTGGCCCTTCAACTCATCCTCGGTGCTCCTTTGGTTGCAAGTGTGGCTCTTCTCACCTCAGTGTATTTCTGCTACGAAAGTTCGCGATTTTATATGAGAGAAGAGTCGCCGAACTTTGATCCAAACCAGGCTCTGAAAATCTTGCTAAAAATCAGAAAATCCAAAGTGAGAAAGCTTGCATTATATTGAACGCCATTATTGAAAAGACATCGCAAACTAACACATCAACAGCTTCAAGCCTTGAGAGATATAATTCTCATACGCTGGTCAGAAAAGCTCAAGAGATTATCTGAGTCCAACGGATCGGTAGGCGAATCTTGTAGCCCAGAACAAGGGTTGACATACGCCTCCCAGCTCCGGGTAGTGCTCCGTTTATCACTAAACCAGTACCGCACGCTTTTCAAAACGCCGAGGCTAAGAAATGCTGTTTGGAGTACTTCAACTGTTGCATTGGCACAACAACTTTGCGGAAGTAGGTGTACCAGCGGCCTCTAAGCGAATGAATTTCCATTGTTATTCTAACTTTAATTAGTCAACGTATTTGCCTTTTACTCAAGTATAGCCTCCGTTCTCAGAAAGAACTTCAAAAACTGACGCGATTACTAGATGTAGTTTTCAATGGGACAAACTCGACGATCGATAAGCCTATGCTCTACAGCTTTGGCTTTGGTATGTCTTGCTGTCATCCCCCTGTTCTTAAACCCTTTCTCTAACATCATATGACAACACAGGAGCAATAAACTTCCTGTTCTGTCTTCCAGCAATGCGTACAATAGATACATTTGGTCGGAGAACATGGCTGCTGGCTACTTTACCAATTATGGGTATACTTCTAGCCGGGGCTGCCGGGGCCTTCCCAGCTGATGATAGCACTGTGGTTTCGCCGCGCGTGGCTGCAGGAATTTCATTGATATTAAGTGAGACTTCCCTGCGAGCTTTTATTTTCCTCTACTAAACTTACGAATAACAGTTTTTGTTGCCGTGTATTCTCCTGGATTAGGTACGCGAATTTCAAACCGTTGAGAGGTCTTTTTTAACCGAGATTCACTACAGGTCCTATACCATTCACGTTGGCATCTGAGAGGTTAGTAGTCAAAGCCGTTCAAATTGTCTCTGTCATATAACTAACTCGACAACTATTTAGTTTCCCTCTTTCTCATAGAGAGGCTGGCGCTTCAGTAGCAATCGCAACCAATCTATTCTTTGCCGGAATTCTGACGATCATCATCCCCGCAATGAAGCAGGCATTCAAAACACCCGGCTTGCTCGGCTTCTTCGCTGGAATGAATTTTGTTGCGCTCATTCTCGTTTTCTTCCTCGTTGAGGAGACTCGAATGTTTAGTCTCGAGGAATTAGACGAAGTCTATAAGCAGCCGAAGACCAAGTTCGCCAAGTATCAGCTTTCCGAGATACTTCCGTATTTTGTCAAACGATATCTATTCTTCCAAAGCGGCGCTCAACCTCCTCTCAGATATGATGAGTGGATAGCACGCGAGCAAGATATCCCACTGGAGGACATTGATGCTACAAACTAAGGTGTAATGATTTCATTACTCTAGATTCTATGGCTCGCTGCATGATGTTCATCAAACAGCCCAGGCAATATTTTAAATTGACTGCACAAGTTCATGATGGGCGAATCCAATATTCCACAACGGGTAGCGATCATATTTCCCTCCATATCTAGTCAGACTAATCACGTCATATTCACGTCTTTGGTAATCAGTTTTGGTAGTTTAAATAAATACCTTGGTGCTCAGAACCTGTATGTATATTGTAAAATTCCAACGAGAAAAGCTACAAACTGGAAAGATTTTATACAATTTGAATCAGGCTTCCCGGCTTCTCTAGGACTTTCCGATGTTGGAGTGCTTCTCCAGCCATGATTCCGTACACAAAAGACTCTCCAACTAACTTAAACTGGTCCTCGGAAACAGATCGCAAAAGATATGGTGTTTTCCCTCCATCCAACACTGCCACCACATCACCTTCCTTTGCATTCCATGGCGCCAGCCCAATATATCCCTTCCTTGTCACAAAGAGCGCACGATGAGCACAAACCCTTTGGATACGTTTCACATACGTCCCATAGTGCTTCACAATTAAATTTTCCTCGCCACTTCTTAGAAAACTGGAAAATTTGTTCGAGGGATATTCGGTGTCATCCCGAAGACATAAATTTTCAAATTCATCCAGCATGTCCTGCTCATGAAGGGTGAGTGTGACTCCCTCCATTGTTCCCTCCCAAAACCCCATACTTGTGATGTCAGGCACCTGTCTCGCCCAGCCATTGCGATCATACCACACTTCAATGTAGTTCTTGTCACTCTCTGGTGCGGCGTGATCGCCCGCCCAGTCGGCAATCATTGTGCGCCACAGAGCCTCTTCACGGCTAGAGTCTTTGTACGGACAATCTTGTACCGGCTGCAAAGCATGTTTTTCCCATGCAATCAAAGCTTCGTTCCCTTTTCTGGAAAGAGCAGGTGTTTCACTTTGCGGATGCCACGCCGGCGCAATAGACTCGATTTCATCAAAGAGGAATCCACTCAATGATAACGCGTATGTCGATGGTCCCACAGAAACATGCGGCATCTCATCACCTGATGCCCAATAGAGTCGGTGGCTGAA